GACCTGCAACAAAGCACCGGTCACAAATCAACTCAAGTGCAAATAAATCAAGTTTCAGGCAATACATACCGTTTAGATCAAACCAAGGCCTAGGAGACTTCAGCAAAAAGACTAAAAATCGAGCCAGAATCCCTCGGGACAATGTTAACAAGTACTCCAAGGCCGACACCTCATTCGGATTGAGCATCTCAACCAGATACTCATCATACTTCCGAGGCACGCTCGTCTAGTAAAATGGAAACAATTGTGTGCCTTTAAAGTCATAAAACCAGTTCTGATAGGCCACCGGATCAATCATGACTTTGGAAAAACCTGACTTGAACCCCTTGAAAGAGGAAGTGAAGGGCTTGAACAATGGCCGATCCACGTGCCTTATCAATGAAATCCACTTCATGGTCTTATTAGATGGTCGAGTGCAAAAGAAATGCAAGAATAACCCTACACTAGGTTCAATATAATGATATTTACAAAGTACTCGGAAGGCCCGCATCACTGCCCACCCATTCGGATAGAGCTGAGTAGGAGCTACATTTAGCGCCCTTAAGACACCCATTTGAAAATCATCAAAAGGCAAGGTGACATCGAGTTCTTTAAACATGCACTCATACACAAAGAAAAATTCTCCCTGGTTATTTTTCATTCCAAAAAACACCAGGTCGGCATCCGCCCAGCCATCGGCCTTACAACATCTTAACATGACCGGATAAGGGTCTTGATCCTCCCATCGAGCTAGCTGCATCACTTCATTAACCCTTTAACAATTCTTCTCTGATAAAAATGCGAGAAATACGCTACAACCTCCCTGTCCACCCATTCATACCCGACAATATCACAAGGGGGAAACTTCTATCGATAATCCCGAGCCTCCATTTCGGCATCCGGAAGTGTAGACCTGGAAGAGTCAGTGGCATTAGAAGTCCCCTCATTGGAAAAGCGTTGCAACTCAGACTCGGACGCAACACCCCTTCGACTAATACCCGGACCTTCAAAGCCAGACGGAGAGTAGGGATGGCAAATATACATGTACCCGTGGGTAATACCTGAACCTGTCCCGACTTTGACGGGGAATACCCGGTTTGACCAGGTATGGGTACGGGTACAGGTAAAACTCGATATATTAAATCGGGTACGGGTACGAGTACGAGTATGTACTTACCTGCCCCTTACCCCTACCCGTACCCGTCCCCGTTTTCATTTTTAATTTAATACTCACTTTCAATTTAATTATATTAAAAAATTTTAATATTTTTTTATGTGTGATTATTTATTATAATATGAGATAAAGAAACAACCTAATTATAATTATAATATAATAAAAAAAATAATTTAAAAATATCATTTTTTTACAAAAAATAAAAAATAAAAAAATTAACGGGTACGTGTACGGGTATACCCGATACCCGACGGGGATGTGGATGGGGATGAAAATCTATACTCGACGGGTATGGGGACGGGGACGGGAATGGGTTTAACTTGTGGGGACGGGGACGGGTATCATGAAACCTGTACCCGACCCACCCCGTTGCCATCCCTAACGAAGAGCCCCTGAACACGAACACCTCATTGATAGAGGCCATTCCAAGAATTACCTCGAGAGATTTGACCGACCGACGACTCAACACCACGCACATAAACGTACCTCAAAGTATACAGTATAAATGGAAACACCTTTTTTGGTACAGAAAAAACGAACATGTATATTCACCAGTTGGACCCCCTTTATATATGTTAGAAAAGAATGGCACAATCCAAGAGGGGGGGTGAATTGGATTCAATGACCCTTTAAAAATTTATCAGAGTATTTTGGATCTTAATTTCAATCAAAACTTTTCCATGACAGAATTTCCAAATGAAGCTCTTCTAAAGACTTGTTATGAAAATATGAATGCAATATGCTCACTTGATTACAACATAATGAGGTTCAAAAATAATGTTCAATTACAGATTTAAACCATCAAGATTCACATACACTTGTTAATCAAGTTTTATCTTCTTTGAAGTTCAACCAAGAAATTACACAATGTAAAAGATAAGGTTGAAGAAGATTGCACAAGTCTTTTATACTGGTTCAGCCACTCCACATGTGACCTACATCCAGTCCTTAATCAACACCTGATTAAGATTTGCTCCACTATCTTTAAGCAAGAAGGTTTACAAGCACACACACATGCATATACTTCAACACTAAAAGATAACCACTTTCTTGACCCCAAGAAAGCACCCCTTGTAGAACCCACTACAAGAAACCTTACCACTTGAGAAACCCTTCTCAAGATTTTCCACAAAGATTCACAAAGAATAAAAGGAACGAATTCACCTGGAATTCTTGAACAAATCTTTATCTTCCCCTTTCAAGAATATGATGATGATGATCTTCTAACAAAGCTTTTCACAAACGTTTTCACTCTTGGATTTCACAAAGAAAACTCTCCAAGATGTCACAAAGACTCACAAAAACGTTTTTCACAAATTGATTATCAGTTCTAACTCATGTCTGAAGTTTCTCAAGGTTCAAACTATTTATAAAAGTTTCAGACACAGATAATCGATTATTTTAAAGAATAATCGATTATTTTGTTCTTCAGATTTTCTGGAAATCAACCAAGAACAATATAATCGATTATTTAGCTGGATAATCGATTATTCCAGAGAGTTGTTCCTGGGATAATCGATTATTTTGGCAAATAATCGATTATTACAGCAAGGCATTCCACTTAGCCTATTTGCTGAAATAATCGATTATATTTAACAATAATCGATTATTTTGAGTTAGTTCTTAAAACCTCATTTTAAGACTCAAAATAACTTTTCAATGTTTTTAACTCATCATCATATACTCTCTACTTAGTTTAGACAAGATTTTCTCATGCACAAAGCATACTAAGTACACAAAATATAGAAACACATTGAAAACAATCTATATCCTAAATTCTATTACATAGCTCCATCTCATAGCATTTTCTTGATTCTTCTTTGACTTTGTTTTTGTGCTCCAAGTTGTTGTTCTCATGTTGTGATCATCAAAACTCTTCAAGCTTCTCCTAAGCTCAACAATATAGACCTCAACAACCAAGAAATGAAGGGCCACACCCCTAGTAAGCACCGTTGGATCTACTTCATCCAATGACTACCACTGCGTGACCTTTCATCTCAACATGAATCCCAACAATTAAGGCACTTGTACACCTTAGCCCTAGGAGACGAAGAGACACCCCCAAACGTTACCACCCTTCGGTCCCGACCATCACATCGCCCAAACAACCAACTGGTCTCTACACCAAACTCCTTCATCTTGCATCCTGGGCTTGGGGGGCAGTGTACAGGTTATGCCGAAAACTCCTTCAGCCAATGAACAGGTCGAACACCCCTTTGGCCAAAGAACAAGTCGAGCACCCCTCAGGCCAATGAACAAGTCGAGTACCCATCAGGTCAATGAATAGGCTGAGTACTCCTCAAGCCAATGAATAGGGCAAGTACCCCTCAAGCCAATGAACAGGTTGAGTACCCTTCAGGTCAATGAACAGGTCGAGTACCCCTCAGGCCAATGAATAGGCCGAGTACCCCTCAGGCCAATGAGTAGGTCGAACACCCCTTCGGCTAAAGAATAGGCCGAGTACCCCTCAGGCCAACTAATAGGCCAGGTACCCCTCAGGCCAATAAATAGGCCGGGTACCCCTCAGGCCAATGAACAGGCTGAGTACCCCTCAGGACAATGAGTAGGCTGAACACCCCTTCGGCCAATGAATAGGCTGAGCACCCCTTCAGGCTGATGAACAGGCCGAACAACCCTTCAGGCCATTGAACAAGCCGAACACCCCCTCAGCCAATGGATATGCCGAATATCCCGACATGCCGCATACCCCTCGGCCGATGAACCTACCGAATGGGTTCAACTATAACGAATATCCATGAGGTAAAGTAAAACAAGTGTTAATTACATTAAACACATCCACGTCAGCTATAATCAGTGTGCAAAACCTGGTGCACTAGCCCCATAACCCAAAAAGTCCACCAGGCCCAAGAACGTCACTATAAATATGGTATTGATGGGATATGTATGATTATTTAATATAATAGCCTTTATTACTCTGTATCGAATACTCACTTGAGCATCAGAGTGCCTTTGCAGATACCCTTCCCACCACTCGAAGACAGGACTCGGCCAGCATGAAACTTAAGAGACTAGTCAAGAGGAAGGAGAGAAAGAGAAGAACAATTACCATCCAAAAGCAAATTTCAACGAACTTTTGTGCAATACGCTATATTATTTGTTTTTTTTTTTTTGAAACTTATACAATGATATGTTTAGATTTATGCACTTAAAAGTGAGTAAAAAAGTTATAAGAAATAAATAAATAAATAAATTTTTGTAGGACTAGAAAAATGTTTAACTTAATTATATAAGAAAATATCAAATAAAGTCATTTTTTTATCCGCCAATAAAGTCTATTTTTTTTTGTTTAGTTATATATAAAAAAATCAATAAATTCATTATACATGTTAATCTATATATAAATGAAAATATAAAAAAATCTAGACATCGTTTCAATTAACTTTTTTTAAAAAATTTAAATTTGGTATTTTTTTTTATCACTTTATGCAATACATTGTATTTTTATTATACTTTCACTGAATACTAAAATGAATAATGACAATAAACTTAATTTAAATCACATAAATTCAATCCAAGTAGTTAAAATAAAAATTTTAAAATTACATATAAATTAAAATATAAATATTGAAAATGGAAATAGACTGTTTCCTTTTCCTCTATGATTTTCTATATTTAAAAAATTTAAATTTTGGTAGTTGACAAAATATGGCGGTGTAAATTCAACAAATGAAATAAGAGAAATTCTTGGGTTAATTAATTAGACCACCTAAATGAAAAAATTGGAGGTAAAATTTCCTAATTCGCGTACAGAACGAAGGTATATATAGAAACGAGACTTGAATTTGTAGGCCAAATTAAATATTGATAACAATTGGAGGTTGCAAGTTCAGAATTCAAACTTTCTAATTAATCTCAACGATTCCTCTCATCAACATTCTCCTTCAACATATTCCACTGCACGACACAGGTATTCTTATTCTTCTACCCTTCTCAAATGTTACATATTCTATGATTTGTGTTAGGGATTAAAATTGTTTAAGAGTAACTAATGTGTGTGCATGTGTCTTTGCAGTTATGAGGAGCGTGTGTAACGGGTGTAGGAACATCCTTGTTTACCCTTTGGGAGCATCTAATGTTTGCTGTGCAATTTGCAACACCATCAATTCTGTTCCTCCTCCTCGTATGCTTTCTTTTAAAGATTTCAGATATTTTCTTGTTACAACATGTTTAGAATGTTCATTTGGTTTCACATTGGATTAAATGGTGCAAGCTTAAATGAATTACATATTGAGGGACCTTTAATTTTCTGATGCCTTTGCAGGAATGGAAATGTCACAACTTCATTGTGGAGGCTGTAGGACATTTCTAGTGTACCCGCGTCGTGCTGCAAGTGTGACATGTCCTTACTGTCACGCTATTAACCTTGCACCAGGTACATTACAGCATTCTTAATTAATTTCTATAAGAAACCGTATAAAATTCCTTCCTAATTAATTCTTATAGAGAATGAGAAATAGTATAACATGCATTCCTAATTAATTCTTATAAAGAATGGGAATTCATTCATATATGGAATTAAAAAAGTGTACGATATATATTTACCCTTATATGGAATGATAACAAGTATAATATTCCTCCTAGCTACAGAAGAGTGGAAAATATACAATATTTAATATTATTGAGACTTGCAATATTCATATTTATGAGGCACACACAATATTTAAAGGTAGTAGGAAAAATATTAGGACATATTCTTATCATTATTATTATTAGGATATATATGCTTATCAGTATTAGAATATACTTATTCATCATATCATAACAACTTACTTTACATGTTATGATATGATATAATAGCTTATTAGTTTTATCTTTTAGTTTGTTATGTCTTAGCTATAAATCGTAATTCTTTGCCTTCTTTAGTTTATAAAATGGAACAATAAATCTTGAAAAGAATTATCTTCCGATTCATCTTTCTCCAAGTCTTTACGGTTCATCATAAATGTATAATTTTCATCTCTATAAGGATTGAAAAAATATATAATAATTAATATAATTACAGGGGAGGGAACATGCAAGGATAACAAAAAGTCAATTTTCTAAACCCTAATATATTCATAACCCCTTAAATACAGAAATGCATGCGCAAAACCAACATTAAACTAAACATTATAGAGCACAGTCCAGATTCATTTGAATATAAACATAACCCAAAACCTGGATTAAAATTAATTTGATTATGTATCCTTGATGAAAGTTTGTAATATTCATGAATGTTATCAGCATAATTCAAATTCAGAGAGCTGTGTAGTATGGTTATTATATGCACAAAATCATACTGCATAAACAACAGTATGTTGGGTGTGTCTGAGAGGTCATTTAATAGGTTCCATTTTCTCTATTGTATGTAATTCCAATGATGAATTCATTATTTTACTGTAATATTTGATGCTTATTAATTAATTATTAGGTTAAATTGTTTATTGACTTTATTAATTGTTGATTTGTGTTGTGTTTTGATAAAAAAGAATTAAATCAAGTAAGCCATGTCCATTGTGGGAACTGCCGGACAACACTCATGTATCCTTACGGAGCTCCCTCAGTCAAATGTGCAATTTGTCACTTTATTACTAATGTCACTGTAAGTATTCATTCATACAATCTATTCAATTTCACCTCATTTAGAAGTATCTAACAGTAGCATGCATGAATGAAAATCTTGGAAATATGATGCAAATAATGTTTTGCATTTTATGTAATATTATTTGTACCATCTGATTAATGGCTTCTGCTTCTTGTTCTGTAGATGACCAATGAAAGGCTTCGCATTCCTGTATTGAGATCAAATGGAACAGTACCTTCTAATTCATCGGTATGCTTTTCTCTTTTTCTTTTGGTGATTCCGTGAGATCAGATGTATTCTGGTAGTGTATTCCATATCGTACCCTTAAAAACACATGCATATGATGCCTGTCAATCAAGACTCCATGCTTTTCTCATATCACATTTTCATGTCTCATTCCCATATCACATTATCATGTCTCATTATCATCATGTCATCAACACATCACATAATCACATCTCATCATCACATTGCATCATCACATTTCATCATCATATTTCATCATCATATTCTCATCATCATATTCACATTATCACATTATCACATCATATTCACCATTTTCACAGAGCACTTTAATTCATATCAAAACTCATCTATTTGTGAAATTAAATACATATTCATACATCTCATACAACAAGGAATACAACAGAACAATCAGAAGGTAAAACAGAAAATATTAAAATTATGTCTGTTTCTCATAGGGTTCCCACAGGAACCCACAGAATACTCTAATTCCTATAAAAACTTGTTTATTTTCAAAATTAGACACATATTTACACTCAGCAAACATCAAGGAACACAACAGAAAACTTAAAAGGTAAGACAAAAAACATTTAAAATTTGCCTCTTACAATTACCAATGCATTCGCTTAGGATTTCCCACGGGAACCCATAGAGATCTCAAATTACACATTTATGTTTACATATAAACAGAGCAAATAGAAGAAACATATATAATTGGGAAAAACCCCTCATAAATAAGCATATAACAAACATAGGATTGGGGGCCAATCCCACTACCTAACATACATCTCCACACCCAGAGCAAGGTTTCTCACTCCCCCATTACTAGAAAAGTGTCATTTTCTTGCAAATTTTCCTGCAAAAAAAATTTGCAGAAATTTTTTGCGAATTTATTTGCAAAAAATAATTTACAAATATTTCTTACAAATTTTGCTACAATTTTAATAATCATAGAAATTTTAATTAATAATAATATCACATCTCACTCATTCAAGACATAAAAATATCAATTTATCATATAATATTAAAATGCACATGGATGGACATGAACTACATTTTATCATGCATGTGGCGCTTCCCTTTTCTTGTGTTGTTTTTCCTTGACTTCCTTGTAGGGTATTATCAGCATGAAGCTGAAGATGTTGATGATGAAACTTAGGCTTCTATATTAGGATTTGCTCTGATAGGACATGTGACATCGGGCGTAGATAGGATTAGATTAAGATGTTTTTATTAAATTATTTTGAAAACTTTAGTTTTATTTCTTTGTAATTTTCGCTGATTTTGTTAAGTTATGGATGTGGTACTTTCTATCTGACCACGTTTGATATTTTAATGTTATGTTATTCAAATTTTCTTATTATGTGTTATGGTATGCGGGGTAGAGGGTGTCACATTAAGTGGTATCAGAGCAGGTCGATCCAATCGACCGTGAGTTATGTACTTATCATGATTCTGTTGTGTACTCTGACAGTGTTTTGTTTTTTGTATACTTTGATGATGCTTTCCTTTGATAATGATGATGATGATGTTCTCCTTGTGCTGATATTGTTGAGTTTTATACTGTTAGATTATATTGGAATTAGAGGAATGATAGATAGTGTTAGCTAATATCATTATGACTACTCTTCTTCATTCTTATGAGTGCTAAATTGTTTGATACTTCTTGCTTACGTAAGAAGTAGTGGTTGGGTGGCATTGCTTGTGTTGCAAGCATATGTGCGAGTAGTAGTAGACGAGATATTGTGCTAATTATACTCATCCAAATGATCTCAAACTTATCTCAAAAGAAAGCTAAGAGAATAAGCTACAACTCCTATGAAGACATAAGATTCTAAAAAGATCATCTTCTTAGCTAAAAATTTTAAAAACCGCAGCAGATATATTCAGCGCTTACAGCTAGACCTTTGATCACCAAAGTAGCTATAACTGGAGTTCTAGACCTCCGTTTTACCTGATTCCAGTTCCATTGGAAAGATAACGTCCAAGGCT